GGTGGAGCAGGGTTTCATCCGCCCTAGCGTTTCACCGTGGGGAGCACCAGTACTTTTCGTGAAGAAGAAGGACGGGAGTATGCGATTATGCATTGATTACCGAGGGCTCAACCAAGTGACTATCGAGAATCGGTACCCGTTACCGAGGATTGATCAGTTGCTGGACTAGCTACAGGGAGTCCAATGGTTTTCGAAGATCGATCTGCAATCCGGATATCATCAAATTCGGATCAAGGAGGATGACATACAGAAGACGGCATTCCGGACGAGATATGGACACTTCGAGTTCGTGACCATGCCTTTCGTACTCACGAACGCGTTTGCGGTGTTCATATAACTGATGAACCGCGTGTTCATGGACTATCTAGATGCGTTTGTCTTCTTTTTCATCGATGACCTCCTCATCTACTCGTCGGATTCGCAGACACATGAGGAGCATCCGCGGAAGATGTTGTGGAGTCTGAGAGAGAACCGACTGTATGCTAAGTTCAGCAAGTGCAGCTTTTGGCTACAGGAGATTGGGTTCCTGGGACATGTGGTATCAGCCCAGGGTATTCAGGACGATCCAGCCAAGATCGAGGCCGTCATGGAGTGGCAGTCTCCGACTTCTGCGACGGAAGTCAGGAGTTTTCTGGGACTAGCTGGCTATTATCGGCGATTCGTTGAGGGGTTCGCCAAGATAGCTCGACCTTTGACGAAGCTGACGGGGAAGAACGTCAGGTTTGACTTGACGACTGAGTGCGAGGAGAGCTTCAGAGAGTTGAAGCAGAGGTTGACATCAGCTCCGATCCTGGCACTGCCACGACCGGGTATGCTCTATGAGGTATACACTGATGCGTCCAAACACGGACTCGGTTGCGTGTTGATGCAGGAAGGACATGTAATCGCTTACGCGTCGAGGCAGCTGAAGAAGCATGAGGAGAACTACCCGACTCATGACATGGAGTTAGCAGCAGTAGTTCACGCGCTGAAGATTTGGAGATCATATCTGTACGGGGAGAAGGTTAAGCTCAACACAGACCATAAGAGCTTGACCTACGTGATATCTCAGAAGGATCTGAATCTGAGACAGCGGAGGTGGTTGAAGTTGATTGCAGATTATGACCTGGAGATAGCCTATCATCCGGGGAAAGCTAACGTAGTGGCCGACGCCCTTAGTAGGAAGAAGATCTTAGCGGCCATACGCGTTGTCACCTCATCTCGCAGCAACGCCGCTGAGTTGACTGCGATGTTGGGACATCTCTCGCTGACACACGAGGAGTCGACACCGACTCTTATAGAGCGCGTGGTTATGGGACAGCGCGGCGATCCTTTACTCGCCCGGTACATGGACCATATCGGGGAATATAGCCTCAAGGGCTATCGTATCGATGAGCAGGGAGCGCTACGGCTAGGGAACCGACTATGTGTGCCTGACGACGCAGAGCTGAGACAGGAGATTCTATCTGAGGCACACCAGTCGAGATTGGCGATACATCCGGGGGCGAGCAAGATGTATCAGGGTCTACGCCAGTGGTATACTTGGCCGAGGGTCAAGAGAGATGTAGCGGATTACGTAGCGAGGTGCCTCACTGGTCAGGAAGTAAAGGCAGAGCGACAGATGCCGGGAGGCAAGCTACAGCCGTTGGAGATTCCAGAGTGGAAGTGGGACTCGATTGCCATGGATTTCGTGGTCGGGTTACCACTCACGCCGAGCAAGAAAAACGCCATTTGGGTAGTCGTGGATCGACTAACCAAATCCGCCCATTTCATTCCTATGCGTCAGAAGTATCCGACCGGGCGGTTGGCGCAGATTTACATTGACGAGATCGTACGTCTTCATGGAGTTCCGAACGAGATTATATCAGATAGAGACGCCCGATTTGCATCCCGTCTGTGGAAGGCGATTCAGGAGGCGCTGGGGACGAAGCTCAAGATGAGTACGGCATATCATCCTCAGACAGACGGTCAGTCGGAGCGGACTATACAGACTTTGGAGGACATGCTCAGAGCTTGTATCCTGGAGTGGGGAGCTCCGTGGGACCAGTACATGACGTTGTGCGAGTTTGCGTACAACAACAGTCATCACACGAGTATCGGAGTATCTCCATACGAGGCCTTGTACGGGCGACCGTGCAAGACACCCTTATGCTGGACGGAGATTGGCGAGCGCCGAGAGTTCGGGCCGGAGATCGGGGAGGAGGCCACTGAGGTGATACGGAGGATTCGTGCCCATCTGAAGACGACGCAGGATCGACAGAAGTCGTATGCCGATCAGCGGAGACGAGACTTCGCGCTTGAGGTCGGAGATTATGCCTTTCTCCGAGTACAGGCGATGCGGGGTCATGCGAGGTTCGGGCAGAGCGGGAAGCGGAAGCCGCGATACATCGGACCTTACCCCGTGATCGCGAGAGTGGGAGCTGTGGCAT